ATTTCCAAATGAAGTGTAAAATATATGCAAAATGGTATATAGTTTAGTAAAAAAATAACAAAAAATCTATATATCTCAAAAGGATGCAAAAGGAAGAAAATCTTCAGGATGAAATGTATGGATTACTGTGTTTTAAGGCAGTAAATTGACTTTTTTTTGTTTTAAAGTAAATTTTTAGTTGAACTACAGTCAGTATGTCCAAAATAAGAGTATCATGTCGAAGTTTACGAAATGAATACAGGAAATACCTATCTGGATGGATAGGTTGCACTGGAAATATCTCATTGATCTAGGGAATAAGTCTTTTCAAATATTTTTTTTAATAGGTGAATGCTGTGTGGCTCTGCGCTCACTCAATGGTGCGTCAGAGCAGTTTGAAACATTTTTGACTCACCGAGGTGAAGAGATGGGCTCCATAAGGGGACGGGTCAGGATCCATGTGCCCAAAGACAGACGAGGAACACGAGAGAAAGTCTACGGTGGGTTAGACGGAACTGGTCCTTTCTTACCCTCTGCCTTGCTTGCACTATCACTTCCCACTAAACTTTCATCTCCACTGTCACTGCATTCTTTGACTCTCCTGTGAGTCTCACATTGCTTCCTCTATTTGGTTCCTCAATGACCCCTGGCTTGGCTTTACACTTGCTGGTATCTATCGACTGCTTCCTCTTTTGGCTCCTGATTGACTGACCCTGACCAGATGCATCCTGAGGTACTGAAACAGGACAGATGAGTATTCTGTCACCAGGTCAGGCACTACAACAACACACAAAAACACCACTATTGCGTGTGATTCAAACCTATACAGCCTTTGGCCTTTAAGCACCACACAGACTTTGAAGAAGCTTTGCTTGTTTTACGAAATGTGTTGTTCATTTCCTGTGATTTTACTTTTTCAGAGTGGTTCTATTTTGAGAAAGATCCTGGGAGGGGACACATGTCTCCTGCATCTACACGGGTCCCAGTAAACAGGTGAGGACCTCTTCATGTTTCTGAGCGTCAGTGTAAAGCAGCAGAAAGCCTTCAGCTCTTAAGGAAAAGTTCTACAGAGCTCTTTAGTTCACTTTTTGCTAGTAATTTTGAGCTTGTGAGCCTGTTTTACTTGTCATGTTTTTTAACATAATCAAGCTAGATTCACTTTTATTTTGAAAATAATTCTTAGACATTTGTTTCCAAATTTTATTGGCCATAAACAGGTAAATCACAATACAGTAGATATCATTTGAATGGGTTAAAGGTTAAACAATAAAAAAACTATTTAAAATGTAAAATGTTCACAGTTGCTGGCATGTTAGCCAGTAGTCAAAAAACATGGTTCAGATTTTGTCCTGCACTGCAGCGCAACATCAGAGGCATATTTCTTGTACTTGACAATGTGATGTTAAAGATGTATTTCTACTGTTTCAGTACAATACATTACTCCCATGATAATTTGAGAGCTTTAAAATCCTGTCTCAAACTATTATTAATGGCTGTGTAGTGTTTTGATGTTTGACTCATGCGTGTCGTACTCAAACTGGGCTCCCTGGATTGTATTTAATTTTCTCACCAGTAGTAACCACTTGCCTGCAACAACACAGCACTTGAGTTGTGTTTTTTTTGCACAATGCCAGTTTTGGTCCACAGTGTTAATGTTAATGTTTAAACTGGGGTCTGGGACCAACAGGGGTCCTTGGGTTGATTGTAACAACAAGGGAAGAAGGCCCTGAGTATAGGATTTAGTAACCCCCCTATCTAGAACATGTGTTTTGTTTGTCCACTCTGGGCCACTGTAGAAACATGGTGGTTCAACATGGCAAACTCCATGGGAAGCGACCAAGGGCATCTGTAGATATAAAAGGCTCAGCCTAAGGCAACAAAAACAGAACAATTCCTATATCAGGTGATTATACACTAATGAAAACATATATATATATATATATATATATATATATATATATATATGTTACACAGTTGATCTTTAAGACAAAATCCTCTTAACTTGGTGGTCCTTGACATGAAAAGGTTTGGGAACCCCTGTGAAGAAATGAGTAAGAATTGAGGACACACTAACATAAAAATTTGAGCTTGAAATTTGTATGTTCATTACAGGTCCTCGGCAGCTCCTCCCAAACTAACTCCGAGCAGCTACACCAATCCTGCCTACTTCATCTTTGAAGGTGTGTCAGTGGCACGCAGGGTGGAGGAGGCTCTCCCCCAGCGAAGGGACCCTCAGGTGATCTGGTCTGGAAATGAGGCCCTGCAGCTCCCAAAAATCTCAGGACGTCCGGGCTTTGACAGAAGACCTTGTCGGAGATCAGATTTTACAGAGATTGAGATTCCAGCTGTCTTGCCTCAGTACATTCCAACAAATGACCTTCAGACACCCCAAACCAACTCCTCCTATCAGCTTTTTCCGGTCAAAAACCCATCTCCCCTACCTCCTCCCTCAAGTAATGTCATGTCACAGTACCAAGACCAGACTTCACAGCCCAGAGACAAATACCATGGTAAAAATATTGTTCAAGACTCCATACTGCCAGAGAAGAACCTAAGGAACTTGTATATGAATCACTCAGCAATCATCAGGGAAAAAGCCAGAAGGGATCAACATCAGCTTCTCCCAGAAAGGACCAAACCTATCCGGGCAGCCAAGGCGCCGTCAGCTTTCCCCTGCATCCCCACTCACTTAGCACACGGTCAGTCCTCTGTTTCCTGGATGGTGGATCAGCAACTCCCTGGACCTACAGGAGACAACTCCCTCACTGCTTTGCAAATTGCCAAGTCCCTCAGCGAAGTTGACTTCTTCCCCACAGAGCAGAGAGGCCCATCCATACCCAACCAGAGGCCATGTTATAGAAATGGTCCTTCCATGCATGGAGATAGAAGCTACAGTTGGGAGAAAGAGGTAGGAAACTGCTCTCAAAGACAGTTGCTGTTGATGTGACATGTGGTTTTCTGTAAAAAAAAAAAAATATATATATCCGTCTGCTTTATCTCGATGCAGGTGTCTGTCCTCCAAGGTGCACCGGAGACCGTGCGGGAGCTTCTCAGTACTCTGGGTCTTCAGAAATACACCCTTGGGACTCAGCCTCAATGGCTGGGATGATCTGGATTACTTCAGGTGAGTACTGGATTACCTTTACTACACAGACATAGAAGGTGGTTTTGCAGTTACTAGCAGGAGTGTGATACTACTGCCAACGCCATTCTGTTAGCATCTAAGTAAACATTTTTTATCAATACTAAAACACAAGTTAGAAGAAGTGGGAAAAAAGCTACTGAAAGACATTTAAAGGAACTGCAACTTTTTTACTTAGACATGGTGGTTGCTGCTAGGAAAAGTCAAGTCAAATTTTATTTATATAGCCCAAAATCACCACTGGACACATGGGGGCTTTGCAATATGTACAACATTCAACACCCACTCTCCTTAGACCCTTGATTTGGGTAAGGAATAACTCAAAAAGACTGAAGAAAACTAGAGCCACAGAGGAGAGATCCCAAGACTGACAGAGACTCAGTAAATGTTGAGTTTACAGAACAAATCAACAAAATCACATTATATACAAATTTTAATGACACAAAAGAGCACCATAATGCAATCTTTGTTATTTGCAGTGTTAGCTGTGAAAGTGTTCACCACCAAAACCAATGTTTTATTTTTACACCACTGTTTCCCACTGTGATAGTTTCACAAAACTAGAACCACAATCCACAAAGCCTAATAAAGAATATAGCACACATAAGTAACTTGAAGCATTGATGGCTAACACTTTAGTGATATCTTATTCAATTCTTATATTTGTTTGTAGGGATAGCTTCAGTGTTCACAAGACAGTTCAAATTACGTGATTGATCAAATTACTAGCGTGCATGTGACAGTCATGCTCATCAAGTGACTTGACTGAGCATCAGGTTAGCAGTTAGATCCTCACTGTGGCACAGATGCTAACATAAATCCACTCACAAAAATGTGAAGTTCTAAACTTTACAAATTAAGTTAAAAATTACCATAGAAGTTTTAGTTAAGTTTGATTCAGTGCCATGTCTTCTCTGCACAGTGGTATCACTGAGGAGGATTTACGCGCTGCAGGAGTGACGAACCCTTCACACCGACGCAGGATCCTTGAGAACCTGCCTAGGAACTGGAACTGACATACAGAGATGAAAAGCTGACGGTATGAACCCTCGTCATCTGCTCAATTAGAACTGGAAGAAGTGTTGGAACTGAGATCCGAAAGGAGGACAGGCTGATCGGATATCAATCGCACCAGCTGGACTTTACCACGGCGCTGCCATTAATTTCATTTACTTGATCGATGCTGTAACAGTAGCCTGTGTCAACACAGCAAAGGGAACATAATGCAGGAAGCACTCGTTGCACAGTCTGCTTTTTATTCATCCATCCATCTCGATGGATAATGAAAGAGATGGGTGATATGTATGGAAACCTTGATCCGTATCTCAAGTTACTGACACCTTTACAAATATTGATTTCCGTATGAAGGTCTCATTGATTTTGTTTTAAATGATTTTTAAATGACTATAAAAATATAGTCCTTCAATTGCCAGTGTTCGTTCAAGGCTAGTGTTTACCATTCACCTTCATCCCTTCTACTGTGTGCTTTCCATTACTTTGCTATAATTGAGCCTTGATCTGAGCTTGTAAAAGCCCTCTATTAAACCTATGGAGCATAAAATCCATAGCTGTAGATATCTACTGGAACATTGTCTGTAAAGTTGGTATAGAAGGACCTTCCATATCTCAGTTTGTTTACTGCCTCATACTGTTGCTATCATGTCACTTAATCAGTGCCTTATCCACTGTGCGTGTTTTATGCAACCTTTTTTAAAGTAAAGTGCATAAAGCAACTCTTGACTGTCACCAAGCAATCACAAGTGTTATTTCATGCTGTTGAGCAGCGGTGAAAACAGAGAAATCCCTTCTTCAAGCCGTTTCAGTGCTCACATCACATGCTGCTCCTATGTTGTTTTATGGCACCAAGACACATTTGTGAAACATAAGTCACTACCAACTGTAGATAGTTTATAAAACCAGAGATGCAACCATATTTATTTTACCAAAGAAAAAAAATCATAGGGAAATTATTGGCCACCATGTTTGGCAAATTCACGGCAAAAAGATGATGCTTCTCTTTAAGTGGTAGTTATGAAAGTACCTACACACTGCATTACTGGGTAGCTTTAGCCAGATTTCTACTGTCACAATGAATATTTTACATTTTTTGAGTTATTGTCGAGTACTGCGGTCTATGTCCTTAGTTTGTTGAGTGACAAATCACCAGTGCTTTGCCAATTGTTAAACAACTTCTACAAATATGATTACATTAGTTATATTTATGAATACTGCATGGCCATGAACAAATATGTGAAAGTTGTATTTATCAGCTCAGTATAAATAATAGACCACAATGGAAAGAGATGAGACAGCTGTGAATCTGAGCCCAAAATAACTTGTAAATATCCCACTCAGTGTGTGACTGTCTCTGTTTTTGCTTGTAGCTTTCAGTTGAGTTACTTATTAAGGCATGACTAAACACATCCCTAGCAGCAAATATGTGTCAGCGACCGCCGAGTCACTGCTATTCTGACTAGTGATGTCATCAACCGAAGGGGAGCTGGGAAAGGGCAACATACAAATTTAAAGGAAATGGGTGGAAAGTACTGAATGTTTTTTCTGTTAAAGCTGACATGTTTAATTGAACATGGGTTTAGACATAGTTGGTCTGTAATTACATGGAGCAGCATGTTTTAGCATAATGTGTGTGTATGCAGACGTAGAAAAAGTTAAAGATTTCCTTTCAGACATGTTTCAAGACGTATCAAAATAGTCTTCTTTGAATAATAATAATGAATGTTTGAGAAAGGTTCAATTAGAATAACTATGAATATGCAAATATTTGTCATTTCAATAGTTCAAATCCTTTGCCAGATTTCCACAGCAGCCTTTTCAAAGTTGGGCCGTGATTGGCTTTCAAACTAGTTGTTATGTCAAGAAATGTAAGTACTCAACTTTGCACATTCATCATTCTGCACAGTGAGGGTCAAACATTCATGTGAAATAACAATAAGAAAAACACATTTGTGAGTGCAGGGGGACTTAAAGACATAGTTATTTAACAATCTACAAATGAATTCATAATTGAATGAAAACAGCTTTGTTTGTATGTTGACATGTTTTCGGGGGGTTTTAAACCGTTGCTGTACTTTGAATGGGTTTCTGATGAAGAACATGCTTTGTCAGTGGCCCACTCACATTCCAGACATCCAAACCACAGAAACCCAATACCGTACACAAACACAAACTCATATCGCTACCACCAAGCTGACCCATACACACAGAGTGGGAATGGGCCGAAGGGGTCTGGACTTTCCATTTTTGAGGGATTTTCACCTCTCGTACTTTTATTTACAATATCGGGGGTTTTAACTTTTCTAAATAAGGTCTTCGCAATTTTAAATTAACTTCCAAATACTCCAATATTTATCTGATGTTAAGATGTGCAGTCCCAGAAAACAGAACTTTACAAGGAACGTCAACAGAGTCAAATTTTATGTACTACCGTCAATCTCAAAGTAGACCATAAAAGGGTCATTCAGAACAAATGTGTTCATAAACTATGGGTTATTGGACAGTGGGTATGATCTTGCTTGTGACTGTGGGCCAATCAAACTTTAGTTTTTGGTGACTTATTAAGTGACAGCCTCATCTCACCTCAGTTTATCACCTGCCTCTGACAGTGACATTTCTCATCCTGCCCACTTTTATTTCTTTATGATCAGACTTTACAATATTCCACACCTTATCACATGAATCTTACAGAAAAGTCTCAGATGACAGAGATTACTACCATATCATATGAATCTTACAGAAAAGCCTCAGATGACAGAGATTACTACCATATCACGTGAATCTTATTGAAAAGCCTGAGATCACAAAGATTATTGAGGAGATGAACCAGTCGCTCCTTCACAGCCTTTTATAACAGCTATATAGACAACTGTACAGCTGTGCAAATATTAACTTCTGCTACATCTCAGTATTGACTGCCATTAAGTGTTGTCATGGGAATGAGTTTTTATTCTGAAGACACATAATGGTGGAAGAAGTATTCACTTCTTTTACTTACGTTAAAGTAGCAATATCACATTCTGCATTCAGAATTTTACTTAAAGGTCCCCTCCAGACAAAATGAGACACAAAGTACTCATAGTTAACCAGTGTTAGGGTGCTCCTTCTCCATGTGTTAGGGCAGGGTGTTAACATGTAAGCAGTATTTTAAAGTTGTGGCTCCAGGGAGTGCTGACTAGGACTACTTTGTATGCCATAGCATTGCATTAATGTCATGAGAAATGGTATTATAGTAATGGGGATAATAGTAGCACAAAAATATTAAATACTATAGAATGATATTTGAATTAGTGGATCCATTTCGATCCAAAATGATGACATTAGAGCAGACATACTGGGTGTGGAGGTGCTGTACTTTTGCAGCTGCTACAAGGAGAAACCTCCCAACGTCAAACTTTAAAAGTATTGATTAGTGTCTGCGTGTAAATGAGCTCTGGTAGTAGTTTCGTTCAATTGAAAGTGGCTTCCACTGGAGATTGTTTTTTGGGGCGGCGGTTTTGTCCACTCAGCAGTATGACTTCCCATCTCAGCCCTGTAGTGTGTATCTGCTCTCCATGCGTCCTGCGCTCAGTGCTCACTGTCTCTGCTGCGGCGCCATGGACTCCAACCCGACTTCCAGCGAAACATAACTTTTAAAGTGCGTGTCTAATGTGCAACATGACGGACTGAGCAGAGCAGTGACTGATCACTGGTGAAATTAGACGAGTTCTCCGTGTAGCACTGGGATCAGGACCAGCGTGACTCCTGCCAGTCTTCAGGATCCCTACTCAGGGTGAGTAGCCGCAGTGTGTCAACGATAACTGGGTTCTTATGAGTGTTTGGCCGAGATATGTCGACCAAGGATAGCGTTGTTTACCATGTGAAGAACACCGTGTTGAGAACAGATGTGGTTAAACATTATTAGTGGCGGAAAGTAACAAGTGTTACCAGTTGGTGGGAGTAAGTATTCAGACCCTTTACTTGAGTAAAAGTACTCTCTTACAAGTAAGCCTAAAGTCCTCAAGTACTCAATGTCCCATTACTGTTTCACTATCATATTGTTATTACTGGTGAATTAACGTTAAAGCAGGATTTTACTATATTGTAGTTTGTTGACGAGTTCATTTTGAACTATTTTGTAGGACTGCAACTAGTGTTTTTTTTTTTTTGCATCATTTTAATTTTATGGATTCATCTGGTCATCATTTTCTCCATTAATTGATTTTTTGTTGTGAGAAAATGCATACAATTATGGGAAATGTCACAATTACCCAGAACTCAAAGTGAAACCAAAACCTGCTTGTCTTGCCCACCAAACAGCACAAACACAAAATGATTACAAATCAATAAAAACTATTTGTGACGCTGGAACCATAAAATGTATTTGTCAGTTCACTAATTGATTAATCAACGATCATATTAACTGTGTAAACTATTGGGTAGTTTAATTAATAACTAAACATAATTTTATATGTTCTGTGTGCAAATAACCTTCATTTGTAAAATAACTAAAGTTGTTGTAATTGTAGTGAAGTAAAAAATACAATATTTCCCTCTGAATTGTAGTGGAGTGGAAGTAGAGAGTGGCATGAAGTTCCTTAAATTTGTACAGTACTTGAGTAAATGTACTTACATTCCACCACTTGGGTACAATTTTGAGGTTGTGTGCTTTTCTAGAGTGGTGTTTGTCAAATGTGGTATGTGTACCTGTAGGGGTACTTTGGAGTATTGCGGGGGTACGTGACATTTAAAAAATAGTGAACTTATCTCCATCCTGCAACTAACCATTATTTTCATTATCTATTAATCTGCCGGTTATTTCCTTGAGTACTCATTTGTTTTATAAAATACCAGAAGATAGTGGAAAACATACCTTTTTTAGTTTGAATTAATCTCCATGTGTATTTTCTTTATAAATAATGTAAAAGTCTTCTTCCTTTGGAAGGTGTTGTTATCTGCTGGCTTGAAAGTTCCACGCTGAGAAGTCACATCACCATGGAAACGGTCACCAGGAGCCATGACGCACACAACCAGTCGTCAGTATTCACCTCGATCTTCAACTCTAGCTGTCGCTTTGATGAGGAGTTCAAATACATCCTGCTGCCTGTGTCCTACAGTCTGGTGTTTGTGGTTGGCTTCGTGCTCAATGCCACAGCTTTGTGGCTGTTCTTGAAGATGCGCCCGTGGAACCCAAGTACAGTGTTCATGTTCCACCTCGCCCTGTCCGACTTCCTGTACGTCCTCTCACTGCCCACCCTCATCTACTACTACGCCAACCGCAGCCACTGGCCCTTTGGCGTGGCTGCCTGCAAAATAGTGCGCTTCCTCTTCTACGCCAACCTCTACTGCAGCATCCTGCTTCTCACCTGCATCAGTGTGCACCGCTATCTGGGCATCTGCCACCCCATCAAGGCGCTGACCTTGGTGAAATCCCGTCACGCCCACCTGGTGTGCGGCATGGTGTGGGGTGTGGTGACCGTGTGTCTGGTGCCCAACCTCATCTTCGTCACCACCTCCAGGAGGGACAATGACACCCTGTGCCATGACACAACCAACCAGGAGTCCTTTGAGGAGTATGTGGACTACAGCTCTGTTGTCATGGTGCTCCTGTTTGGCATCCCTTTCCTGGTCATCATGGTGTGTTACTGCTTGATGGCGCGGACCCTGTGCCGGCCCAGACGAGGATTATCTGCCAGCCAGCGGAGCTCCACCTCACATCAGAAGTCCATCAAGCTCATCATCGTGGTGTTGGTGGTGTTTGCTGTGAGCTTCGTTCCATTTCACATCACGCGGACGCTCTACTACACCTCCCGAGTGTTAGATCTTAACTGTGAATTCCTCAACATTGTCAACTTTACTTACAAGATCACGAGGCCGCTGGCGAGCGTCAACAGTTGTATTGACCCAATTCTTTATTTCCTGGCTGGTGATCACTACCGGTCCAAACTGATGTCTGTTCTGACTGGAAAAAGACAGACGACAAGCAGCCTGATACCTGAACCGGCACAAACACAGCCGAACAATAACCTCGGAATCGCTCTGGTCTACAAGAACCCAGCCCCTAAAGCCAGTGGAGAGATTGAGAGATAGTGGGAATTCTAAAGTATTAAACAGGTATTAAAGATTTCTGCTCCAGGCTAAGCTAACATTTCTAATGCAGCATGCAGAAGCACCTGTTTGATTTCCCTTTTTTTGCACTGAAAGGTTTGGAAGAGAATCAGTTTACTTTAACATTGACTAACAGTAGCTTTCACTCCATCAAATCTCTGTAATGCCTGTGTTTAACAGGCATAAAGACCATGTTTTAATTCCCATCACTTTCACAAAACTCAAGTTATAGTAGACAGTATGTACGCTGCTGTATTCTGTTCTTCTTTCTGGGGAAACATTGTTTCTGCATAAGAAAAGCTATACTTTCAAATGATGGGAACAGAAAGTGAGCTGATGGTGGTCACGGCCGCATTAAAGTAAATCATAGACTCAGTGAATCGTTGTGATCTCAGGTAAAGAGACTGGACGCACACAGATCTAAATATACTAAAAGTTAATATTTGAGCAAATATGACATTTTGTCGTTTGGCTGTTATGAAGCAGTCCTTCCTGTTTGATCAACAATGTCTGCATGTTACCCAGAAACTGCAGCTCCAGCCAGTGCCAACTGTTCACAGCTGTTTTTGTCCTTCAACTTCCACAGCTGTCTCTTGCTCAACTATGGAGAAAAGTAGAGAGGTTGATCTGGACGAGACATGTCTTTTCGAACCTCCCACGCCTCATTAGACGGATAAGGGATTTTTTTCCTATTTACCCTTTTACCTTTGGGATTGATACATGGAATTTAAAGGCCTTTTGCTCTCAGAAATTTAGGCTCAGCTCCTTGATAGTTTTGCAGGATATGAAGGCGGAGTTGGAAAGTTTTACTTCATGCTACAGAGCATTTGTCCTTCCACCCTTCTTTTTAATGTTGATCTATGAACCTTTGCCAGAGCAGATGTATTCATATGGCTCTGTGTCATATGGTGTTCTCATATTAAATATGAGAACTATGTGTACAGGGGTTTACAAGATGTAATGTTGCCGCATGAGAAGCTGGTGTTTACTGTATGTCATATATCATGAATTCTGTGTAACGTAACATGAACTTATTAGGCAATGAGTCTTTCCTGTCTGGTCAGGTACAAATTTCTTAATCAGCTCGACCACATTAATAGAGTGTATTCAGAGTGCTCTATGAGTTTAAGGGAAACACATGCCACTTCTGTTAAATGCACAACTCATGTGTTTTAGCGAAACTGAAAGAGTAGATAGAGTAAAGCTGATGTTTGGGAAGTGAAAAGCAGATTATGTGAGTCAAAACATCAACAATATATTTTTCGATGGAAGTGTACCATAAGCCGCACAGAGTGAGAGAGACTGGAGAGCTGGAGGACATGAGGGACAAACAAAAACACCACTCACTCAGAAAGACTGTTATCATGTCCGTGTACCATCCATTATCAAGATAAAGATGCGCGCTCCTTCTTGGATAATGGCGCTGGCACAGTAAACACTATGTTGATGATAAAATGTGAACATGAGAAACAGCAACGCATATACTCTCGAATGTAAACCAGAACCCCTTGGACCTTGATTTTTCCAACATAGTAAACCACTTTAAAGTTAAAACCAGCAGTTTTAACACACTGTGTTACACCTTCTAATGTAAATTCCATATGAACTTGTTCCAGTGCTACACTGCAGCTACATAATGCTTGCATTGACTGAAATATGCCCATATTTTATGGCAGCACTCTTTTTTTTTATACTCATACGGTCACCTGATGTGTTTGGTATCTTTGAAAGGGATTTTGGCAGGAATTTAAAACAATGCTGTGAAGGTTTGAACAAAGTGAGTTATGATTAGAAATAAACTTTGACTAATGTTTATAAATAGAATATTTTTTCACCTATAGAAACTAAAGACTAATGGTTATTACTGTCCAAAAGGACAATTTATGCAGTTATTCTGGAAATATTACTCCATATTGTCTGTACATTAAAAACTGTGTATTATAAGATTATCAGCACTGTCAGTCATTCTGAGTTGATTTTCACCAAGACTGCAGTTCATGAGAAAGTGTAACTTATAACTCTGTACATAAAGTTTTATCAACAAGTCTACAAACAGTTCACTGACATCTTCATTATGTAATTCATACTCCAATGTGTAAAACACATGAAGGCTACAACAAAAAATCTGACCCTGATAGAGATCTGCTAACTAGACACATGACCTAATTTGTGATAATTAAAATGAATCTAATTAAGGTTTCCAAATGTTTGCCAAGAAGACTCTAGCAGCTCTATGCACTTTCCAACAGCTCCATTTCCTCCTGTGCTGTCAGCTCATGAGTGCCTCCCTGTGGTCTGATTGTGTCAGGAAGTTGTGCTCGGTAGAGAACTCAGACAACTTTATGCATGGAAATGACAACAATGTCTGAAAGGAATCACATTTCTGTGTTGTAAAAACTGTCTCACTGCAGCCTGGTTTTGACATATTTTGGCCCTCATCGCTGTCTTACAGACACAGGAGGAGACCAGAGGAAGGTAGCCAACAAACCCCCCAGGAAACACGGTAAGATGGTTCAGGACATCCAACCTAAGTGCCGAAACCCTCTCTGTCCTTATGTGATTGTTTCAAACCTAAAATCCAAACCTAAACCTGAAAGAAAAGAGGGGTCTTAGAGGCCACCGACACAACCATCGACCTCTGCTGGGTTAACCCACTCCAGTTGAAAGCCAACCTTTTTAAAAACACATTTATTTTACCTCAGTATTACACAGGAAAGAGGCTTTTAGTCAAGTGTGTCTGATCATATATCAAGCAGGTTCCTGGGTTCGGGTTCCTTTGCAAGTTGCACTAGACGAGGGTTAAAAATGGAGACCAAGCCATAAAATAAGAAAAGCAGAAATATCTTAATATTGCGAAGTCCAAATGTTCATTAGTCACTTCCATTGAAGTCTATGTGGTCTGCTCAGTGTGCAAAGGAGATGATGAACCATCATTGTGGACAAAGTAGACTATTTCAGCTTGTATTGATGACTCTCTCTCTCTGCCCTTGATGTGTTTGATGGCAGAAAAGTTTTGTCTTGAAATTCACCTTGAAGGGTGAATAGAATATCAGGAATGAATAGAAAAGAATTGAGCTAAATTACATCTTTTTTTAGTGTTTTTTCATGTTTTGCGTCTCTCTGAATAAAGAGCCACATGACCTCTCTGTCTGAGGTCAGAAGAATCTGCGGGGTTCATGAAACAGTTAATTGCCACTTATATCAACTGAGGATGAGTGACCATCAAGATAAAATGAATGTCTTACTCTCTCACACTCCTACAGTGAGCTGACTGCTGTCAATCATGCTGTTGGCTCACTTTTGTCTGGTTGCACGTTTCATTAAATCAAAATCAAATATTGATCTAAATGATTGAAATGATATGGTGCTGACAGGATATGTTAGTGTGTGTCTGTGTGGAACAGAAGATGTTTCATCTGTGCATTGTATTGTCTGATTTGACATTGATTTATAAATCTGAATCGATTGTTCAAGATATTATTATTATAAGGTGCTGTCAGATAAATATTTGCCTATTGACATATCTAATTAACAGATATTACTAATTAGACAATACATAGTAACTCAGCTCTACCTTTAGGCTTTGTGTGCTTTTTAATATGAATTGGTTGTTGTTGTGTTGTAGAGGGTGTTTACCTCTGGAATATTTTGGGGAAGAAGTCATCAGGGCCCCTCCCCAGGCCTGTAAGACAGAACCGCGGGTATTTTCGCCCTTTTGGGAAATTGATTGGTATCGATTTATTTGTTGTTGGTATTGAGAAAAAAACCCGCATTTGAAGAATTAAATATGACATATATATAAGAGTCTATAGGTCTGCAAAAGAAATCCTAGGGAAGGGTTAATGGAGGTACACTTTTAATTGATGGTGATATTTCTTCAGTAACTTTATGAGTAGGCTACATTTAGCGGTTGTGACTTTTATTGTGAAAAGCAGTAAGCGTGTACAATTATGTCACAGCCGACAGCTTACAGAAAACGGCATTTAAAAAAATAAAAAATCGTATTAGATAAACTTAGATAGTGTAGAAATATCACCTCAGTTACAACACGCCTATCTTTAGCCTAAATAATTCAAGTCAAATAATCATATTAAAGGGTTGCAGTGTTAATGCTGTAGTCTGTTTATTCTTTAAAATCCTTTCAATCAGTTGCTGTCGTTTCGGTAAAAAATTTAATAAAATTTTAAAAAATGAAGAAAGTACAAACTTCTGTCTGAATGTAACACAAATTTAGCGGACCGGTTAAATGAGATCTCATTATCAGATGCGTACATTTGGATCCATCCGAGTCTCTAGCTTTTCTTGAATTAATCGACCCTCCCGCAGACAACACCACTGAATAAAACACTTGATGTCCTCGGGCAGTGAGGATGTCTGTGCTCAAGGACACTGTGGAGAGCGAGTGCAATCAAAGTTCGGATTCACGACAGTTATTTAGAGGAGAGGAACAACTTTTTTTCTTTTATTCTTATAGAAATATTTTATTATGCTTATAGGATTATTTTATTGTTCTTGTTGAAATATAGAAAAATGCACCTGGCTGTGGAGCACGGAGAGCACACTTTGACAAGTCTGTGTATCTCCCTGCATCCATCATTATTAAATGTGACGAAGTAGCTCTGTGTTACTGGCTTTAGATGTACTTTAGATATACTTTGGACAAGCTTTCCATCAGCTTAAAGTCTCCACCTGCAGCACAAACGCCTTACAGCTGATTGACTCCAACACTGGCTCATATTTGCAATTTTGCAGTGTAGGGCTGAAGCATTTTGGCACCAAAAATTGCAAAAAATAAAAGTAAGTGCAGCTGATTCAATTCCAACCTATTTTTGGACTGTTTAAAACTTATGTTCTACATTTGTTGAATCCAGGAGGATGAATGCAGTTTTTCTCAAGGGAAAATCTAATTATTATTGTCCCACAACCTTGTCAACCATGACCTAAAGGGAGTCTAGGAAAATACAATCTTAAGCCTTTCCATCACCAGAAAATAAAATGTAAGTATGGAAGTATTTACTTTTAATTAAGAGGTAATACTGTTGCTAAATTTATAAAAAAAATAGACGATGTAGCCTATTGATTGTGAGATACTCCTACGCCTCGGCCTAAAGTGATGCATTTGTTGAGCCTTGAACATTTTTTCTGTGTTTTTCTCTTGTTTGGCAAAATTATTAGGTAGAGACGAGGGACTTCAAGGACGTGTGGACTTCAATTTAATCGAAGAGGCTGAGAGTGGAGTGGAAGAGTGACACACAGAGGAGAGAAGTTCATTATTCTGCTGAAAAGGAAACCAATGGCTTTCACAGTCGCCATGGTAACTGGCCTTTCTCTTGCCGTCAGACCTATGATAAGGTACTTCACAGCATTAAGCAGAATTATTGCAAGGTAAAAGGGGAAATATTGCTTTTCAATGCTAATAGATGTTAGATATTGATTAGCATGGCGATTCATATAGAAGTATGCCCCAACTGTTTCACCCACCTGACTCTCTGCAGCCCTTATTGAAATTTAATGGAGGTGATGGATAGGCCTTTATGGAACTGCAGGCTACAGCTGCTTTTGCATCTTTACCTAGCAGAATATCAGAAAAAACATCTTTACTCGTGACAGCAAGAAAATGGAGACGGATCCAGCAGTGAAATAGAGAGATAAAGCTAAGAAATTGCAAAAAAAACAAGAAAAAAAAATCTGAATGGTTGCATGTTTTTTTTTTTTTCTCATCTCCATTGTTGCAAAATGTCTCATAACATAAATACTAAACAGCCACTGCTTCCAATCAGCATGTCATTCTGTTGTCAAGTGACCCTACTCGCACTCTCGCACAATGATGGGTCGGCCATGGCAGCAGTGAGGTCAGCACCAAGCACAAGTCCAGGCCATGGGAGGTGGTTGGTTGGTGGCAGCCTGCTTAGTTGGTGAGAGGATGAAGGATTAGCATAGTGGAAAGCATGGATAGTTGGTGTGTGTGTGTGTGTGAGGAGGGATAGGGTGGTGGTGGTGGGGTGGGGGGGGCAAATTGTTTTAACCCCTATTACAGCAACTGCATGGCGCTTCTCTTATCTAGGCCGCTGCAGCCACTCATTAATATTCCGTACATATGGCAGTGCTTTCTGTATCATTGTCTATTAATGGGAGGGATAATCGCTCATTCAATTATCAGGCAGTCAGCAAAAGACCAACCGTGCCTGCACACCCCTGGTTCACACAGTGGCACATCCCAAAACAGAGGTGTGCCAGTGAGAAGGTGAGAGCGATAGCAGGGATTACAACATATTAGCTACTTTAATAAATCAGGCGCTGGGAATAATGTGAAGCATATGGGGATCTGTTGGCGAGCGAGAAACATGCCTGAACTTTGTAGCAACAAAGCAGAAGAGGGCAGTATCTTAAACCTTTCTTCCTGTTCAACTTAAAAGTCACACACGGCTCTCTCACACATCAGTGTCACGGCCATGGTCCATGTGACAGTTTCAGAGATGCTTTTAAACACTGAAGCGACTCCTTTGTGGCGATGACCCGTGGTCAGAAAAGGCAGTCGATAGCTGCGTGATAGACTCTGGCGGCTGCGCTGAATAAAGCTTGACCCTGATGTCTGCGGGGGGCCAAAGATCTGTGAAGTGATCAAATGTTAGCGTTCATCCCTGTTGATCTGTGCTTTGTGGCCTCAGGGCCCTGTGCTGCCTTTCTCCCTGCTGCCGGGGCCACGGCCTGGATATGAGGGGGTTACTGATAATAGTGTGACCTCTGGCTGTTTTGACCTGAAGAGACCTTGTTGAGTCAACACAAGCACACGCACAGAAAGAGGTAGAGTTGGAATAAGGTTGTTTAGTTATCCAGTGCACTGAGTTTCTTCAGGAGGTGGGCCAGGACATTGGGAGTGCAGAACTGCTGCAAGCGGGGGGGGGGATTGTTGCGGGGGAGTGTGAAAAAGATAGGAGGTGAAATGTTAACAAAATCTTATAAAAATCCGTAGTTTGATAAATTTTCGCATTTTGAATGAACCGAAGGCGGCTGTGGCTGTGGAGGGCCTTTGTTGGAGGTCCCATTTTCTCTGGCAGAGCAGCACGCTCACAGGGTCAGCGAAGTTACGAAAGTAATTAAAGCTTGGTGATTCACTGCCTGCTGCAGAGAAAAGAAAGCAAGCTGTCATTCTGATTTAGAAAAATAAATTACAATTTTAATAATGGGGGAGGATGGGGGTGCGAGAACGTCTAGAGCCTCGGTGGGTTGGGGGGAAGCGGGGGTGGGCATGTTGGGAGGGAGGAGGGGTCGAGGGGGTTGCTGGCTGCCTACTTATCAATAGTTGCAATTTTTTGAAACCGCATCGGTAGTACATTGCGAGAGCACAAGTGCCCTTAAAAAAAGAAAACCCTGGAACATTAACATACTGATTTCATGCGCATGGCAAAGGGCCTGAGCCAATATCAGAGAGGACTCAGCACTCCTATTGTCTGCTGGGACTCTGGTCCCCTCTGATATGAAAATTCAATTATTTTATAACTAGATCTGGCGCTGCGTTTTGACAGTCGACAGTAGCGCCTTGCCAGCTGCATCAGTGTGGGGGACCAGAGGCTCCTGATAGCGAGAGGGAGGCCTTTCAGACATTGACATGTTTTTGGGGGACAAGATTGCCTAAATGTGTTGCATTTAAGGACTGAAAGTTAATCTAATGCACCACCATTATCTCACTCAGGTAATTCCAATACCATCCTCAATCTATGTTTACGCTCATGCACGTAGCCGCATACTCGCACATCCATTCATTCTTGAGCACTTTGAATCTGATTCCCAGGCTTTCTGCATCCAAACAGGTAATGTATTTATTTATTTTTCCGAGGTGCATATTCTCAGGGGGCTGGAAACTATATAAAATAGAAGTTGTTTTCTAAGAGACATCAGCAGTTTCCAGGTCGTAATTCTGTACGAAGTCGCACGAGAAAACATACCCACTGTGAAATGGTGCTCAGTGTCAAAAATCTTTTTTTAAAAAGGAACAGTTTTCCAAGAACTTTTTATACTTTTGCATTGCTAGGTACAAATAGTATATACATACAATAGTTATATACTCACTTACATATACTACACTGTGAATTGTGGACATCTTCCCCCCCCAATTTTTTTGCACAAATATCTTTGTCTGAAAGAGGAAACAAGTATCACTTTCTCTAAATGTACTGGTTGTTTTGTTGCCATAAATCTTTTAAAAACCATAATTTCCTCCATGTTAATGTTTCATTAGCACAGACACCAAAACTTTTCGAGGCGCTATCCACACAGGCGCATGAGCTGGCCCTATTTTGTGAGTTTATGGGACAAATCCTTTCATTACCTCCGTGGCTCATTGTGGGTGTTCTGAGGGGGGTCTGTTAAGATTAGGGAACAGGAAGCAGCCCCCTGGTATGGCCCTCTCTTCTCAGACCCCACTGTGTTGCGCTTATTAACCCAGCCTGGGAGAAGACGTACCTGCCTCCCCTCATTAGGCCGCGGTGGAGTACGCGCTCAGCCCGCAGAAGAATGGAACATTAATTAGTATTCTCTGCAGGGGGAACTGCCATTAGCACTTAATTAGCAGTAAGAGTACCATTCAGTCGGGCAGCCAGTTAGTGTCTAACACAATATGTTCTGTGTCTTTTCCCTGTGTGTCACGGTAAAATTCTGATGAAAGACTTGGTTGTTTGTGCATGTGTTTTGAACAGAGTGCTGCTTTCGTAGACGTGTTCCATATATTTTTGGGATATTATATATATTTATTTTTTATTTCCTTTTTCCTTTTATATGCAGCTCACCGTTTGAATACATCTAGAAGAGAGCTATAAACCCCCTTGAAAACGAGATTATCAAGATCAAGGTGTTTATCCTAATAAATAAATTTGATTTGATTTTAATAAAAGCTGGCTTTAAGACACAGTTAAGGCCTGTGTTCCCTCCTTATCTCTATAAGATTTTATCTGTGTGCTGCCCCCTCGCTACTGTTGACCTCCATGAGGGCAAACGCTGTATTCTCATCCGCCTGCATGGCTCGGCTCGGGGTGGTAAAGTGGGCGATTAGGGGATTGAAGTCAACTTTTCCCATTGGTCTCAGGGAAGTTCCTTTGATATGCTGAGTAGGCATTCTCCTCTCTTTTCTCTGTGTTCTCCGTCCAGCACTGTCACCACCAGAGGAGGACAAGGGAGGCTGTTGACCCACCTCGGTCCACTCCTCGTCCTCACTATTCCTCACTGTCCCCCTGTACTCGCCCCCCTCCTCCTTCCCCACCAACAGCTTTCGGAGGCTCAGGGCGGATGGTGGCGGTGGTACCTTTCACTTCCCGAAATCTGAGAGGCGGAGAGCTGTCATTTGCCAATTTGGACTGAATGGGGAGGACAGCGGATTGAATGTCATTTTCCCACCAGGCTGCGCCATCCAGACCAGCAGGGGAGGGAGGGGGATGCAGGGAGCGGGGTGTAATGCTAGAGTAAAATTAGAGCTTTGATGGCAGCTAATAGTGTGTGATGGGTGGCGCTGACGTGGATTTCCAGTAAAGACGCCACAGGTTTCCTCTCTCTCTCTCTCTCTCTCTCCCTCTCTCTGTCTTGCAGCCAAGAACTGACACACCTATAAGATTATGCGGGCCCGGCCTTCTTTCTCAGACCTGTAATTTCTCCCTGATCAATGTAATTATACATCTCCAACTCCAAGCCTGCCTATATGTGAAAGAGCCAGAGCACCTTCTTACACACACACACACACACACACACACACACACACACACACACATGCACCTACACAGATCAGCCTTTGAGCAAGTGAAGACAGTACAAGACTCAGATTTTGTTACTCAAGTCCCTCACTTTACTTTAGTGTATGATTCTGTAGTAGGAATTAGTGCTGAAATGATGATTCTATTTGGACTCCTGGAGACTCCAACCCTTTCACACCTCATAAGAAATATTTAACATAGTTTTATTAGCTTTATTCTTCCTGACATTTCTTAATTTTTACAAGAATAGCATATACGTTTTTGAGTTTAACTTTTTAAAATCTTCTGCAGTAAGATATTATGGCCATATCTGTGTTGTCTTTGACAGAACTCCCAAATCCCAAATAAGTCTGTTTGGATTTTTATTATAGGAATTGTTTATATCAGTTTGTTGATAAGAAGTCTTCCAGAAAGTAGACCTTTCTTAGGTCTGTGAATTACTTTGTGTTGAAAAAAGTGAACATATATTTGTTCATATGTAGCCCATGTGACATAAAACATACTTTTTTTTAGTACTTTTTTATTTTGTTCAATAACAATACTTTATGGTCATATCTGTCTTTTGTCGCCTTCATCAAATTTGTGGCAGAGGGAAAAGTTACCACTTCATTA